GCAAAAATTACACTGCGAAATTATTTGCGGGCCTTGCCTTGACCCACAATTAATTGAAAATTCATTCTACAAGAGCCAATTGGGCGCATTAATTAGCTATCCATTGTTGGCAACTGATAAGCGTAACTATTATCATTTTTTTCTTTGGCATGCCGAAATCATCCCAGATTTCATATCGCATTTGGCACATGCGAAAAATGCCGCTTGGTAATTAACATGGCCGCAAAATGCGGCCAAATCTCGTGCATTTTAGCAAAACTGAATGAAAGTTTGATTTGGCAATATAAAGTTTTGGTTTTTTTACGGTTTCGATTACATGCAGTGTAGTTAATACGATATATTACGAGCATTTGGATTTCCACATGCCGCGTGATTTCAGTTTGGGGCCTGACTAAATTCGGTTGCGTTTTTGTGGCTTCTCTTTTATATTCGCGTCTTTTGGCATGATCAATATTTAATTTTGTTAATTAATTGTTTTGTTTTTATTGTTTACAGTATTCGCATTTTAGGCAAACAGCTGCTTGCTGCTTTTTTTCTGTATTTGTATTTTGTATATTGTATTTTGTATTTTGTATTTGGCTTATGAATCAGCAGCTTGGCTTTGGCTATGACAGGGCCGAATGACTGTGACGTTTTGGTTAGAACATCTACCCGGATTTGTTTGCGGCTTTAATTGCCAGCCTTTAAAACAAACGTTGGAATTTAATTGTTTCCCAGCAATAATTTTTGCGTGAGCCACAAAGCAATAAAAAAAAAAAAAAAAAAACCAAAAAAGGAACTATGCAAAAATTGCTTCTCGTTTTTTTTCCCCTCAAATATTATTTTGACAAATTGCCTGTTTCATTAAATAGAATTACCGTATAAAATGCGAGTGTCGTAAAACTTGGTTGGCTCTAGAACAAATTTGCCTAATGCTGCTAAAAAAAGTTCATAAGCAGAACAAAATCAATTAGCTGCCGGTCCTAAAATCAAGCCAAGAAAATAATAAAAAACAAGCCCACAAAGAAACTAAATAACTAAAACTAGAAAAACAAGAGAAACACAAGAATTTCGATTAAAACGGCGGAAAGACTTTCCAAGAAGCTTTAGAGGTGGAAAAAGAAGAAGCAGAAGCAGCTCAAGAAGCTGCTCTGCTCTGCTTTGAACTGATCTGCTCGGCTGAGCATGCACGCCCGCACTGAAAGCCAGCGCAGCCACACACGGCTAAGGCCCAGGCTCGCTCTCTCTCTCTCTCTCCCTCTCTCTCTCTTTTTTTCTGAGAGCCGCTGCCAACGAAAGTGAGCAAAAGCAGCAGCAGCGCCGCATCGCATCTGCTGGCGTCAACGCTTTTGTTGCTGCTGCTGCTGCTGCTGCTGCTGTTGCTGCGTTCGCTGCCGCTGCCGCGGCTGCTGTTCTGCTGCTGCTGTTGTCTTCTGCTTGAATCCACTTGTTCGCATCTTCGAACTGCGTTGGCAGCGTCGTCGCCGACGCCAACTATTGTGTTTGTTGTTCTGCTTGCCGACGCTTGGGTGCTGCTAGATATGTGAGGCTGCGACGCTGGCAGCGACGCTGGCGCTTCCAAACGTTTGCTGGGCCGCATATAAAAACGACGAACTTGGTAAAAATATTCACAATCATATTGAAGTATTGAAGCTGTACACGTTACGTGCGTTCAGTTGTGCGAGTTTAAACAATATATATACACATAAAACCCCACAGTGTGTAAGTGTGTTTTATTATAATAATCAAAATAACAATATACAGTTAATTTAATAATTAACAAATAAAAGACAAAATGCAACAAGTGCCGAGAAATAAACTAAAGACTTTGTGCCACATTTTGTGAATAGTGACAAGTGCCAGGCATCAAGGATATTTTATACATATATATGTATTTTTTAAGGATAACTAAGCTAGAGTTAAACTTATAAAGCTTTCCAAGTGCTGCACAAAAACCACCAAAATTAACTGTAAATTGTGCCGTGTCGTTATTTTTGTTGTGGTTGAAAATTAAATTCATTTGCGGTTGATTGATTGATGGATGGTTTGATTGATTCAACTGCCGCACCGCCCCTGCCACACAATGCCCAGCTCTGCCTAACAGGCATGCCCTGACGCTCTGTCGCTCTGTCTGTCCGCCTTGTCTGGGCTGTGCATTGTGTTTAACTCACTTGAAATTTATTTGTTAGAGATGCGATCTGAACTTTGTGCCGCTGTTGCAAAATTGCATACGCCAACAACAAGAGAGAGAGAGAGAGCGAGCGAGAGGGCGAGGGAGACAAGACAAACATTTGCACTTTTGATTTATGTGAAAATCAGTCACAGAATCTCAAACCCAACTAGCTAAAAAGCTAACCAAACACCAAGTTCAGGCGGAAGCCGCACTTTCCAGCCGTCCAGTTGCAAGCATTAGAACACAACAACTGGCCATTTAAAGCAGACGAGTGTGAATTCATTTGCTGCATTCCATTCAAATGTAAATTAATTAGCATTTTTTTATTTTGGCTGTTCTTCTTAACGAGCAGCACAACGGCAAAAACAAATGATTATCCTAAAAAGCAAGTTCGTTGCCTAAGTCTTTTGTTTGTATCGCCAAGCCAAATTCGGCAAGTCCATCAATTCCCGTTAAAAAGTGTGTCAACTGACAAGAAGCCCGAGGCCACAGAATTCCCAAAAGTCAAACAAATTATGAATCTGCGCATCAATCAGAGAGCAGAGAGCAAAAAATTAATAATGATAATAATAATAAAAAACACAATTTTTGCCAGCTTAATTCTGAGCGCATTATGGAGAGAAAGTATTAGAAACTTGCCAAAATTCCCAAGTTGTGTTTTTAATGAGCGCAGCTAAGAAACGAAAATCGCATAACATATTTTATGCAAATTAACTACAACAACAACGAAATTCGCTGTGGTAAAACCAACAAATTTGATTTGTATTTATTATAAACATTCGCCTGTCCGTCCGTCGGTCCGCCCGCCTGTCCATAGATTTTTATTTATAGCACTGAGTCAGCTGGCACGCATCCAGCCAAATTTGGCTCAAATCGAACAGCTTTAGAACTGGCGTAGTTCTCCCTCTATCTCAAGATCTATCGCATCGTTTGTCGTGTTTATCTCTTAATGCTAATTTCTTGGCAGCTTTTGCTTTTCATTTTCTATTGTTGCTATTGACGACTATTTACGAGCCAAGATATTTGGGCTTTGAGTCAGCGGGCAGGATTTAGCAAACTGGTCTTGACAATCGAAAAAAAGCGAACAGAAAAAAAAGAACAACTGACATCCTGACTATAAAAAACTAACGAGCGAATGCAAATGAATTAACTTCAAGTTTGTCAATTTAGACACTAACTTGTCAGCTGCCATCAATTATGAAATTGCCGCACTAAACGCCAAGAGGCTGGCCAGAAGCTAACCGAACGACGCCTCTTTGCGTAATCCAAGCGGCCAAACAGCTTAGCAACGATTTAATGAATAGACAGACGGACAGACGGACGGACAACTAGACGGACGGACAATACGGATGGACATATCCAAACAGATACATCAACTAGACGCAACAGCAACAGTTGCTGCTTTGTAATTTATCTGACTTAGAATCTTTGACAAATTGCACAGCAGCCGCCCGCAGGGGGCAACAATAAATATGCTACCCCATAGACAAACATATATACTTTATTTATATATATATATATATGTGCTTATATATTTAGGCATATCTTTTGCAAGTCTTTTCGGAAGTCTGTTTGGCCAAAAAACAAGTTGCGCGCTAGACACTGAAATTCCTTTGCGCAAACAACTTATAGACAACTGCCCATAAGCCTGGCCTGGCCAGCCTCACGCAGCGGACTCCAAAGTAGAATCCGCTGGACAGTCATGCTGTCTGAAGTGGACGCTTGTCAGCAGCAAGTGCCATTTGCCATGTTAACCATATTGTCGTAGTAGCTGTTACAGCTGCCGTTGTTGTTGTTGACTTGGAGCCGGCTCATTGCAATATCCATAGCTGGCAATGCGCAGCAGACACCCAGATACAGCGGCACAGCGTGTAGGCTGAGGCTTGGGTACAACTCTCAGCATCTTCGGGGTATCCGACGCGTGCACTTTTATGGCATTTTGCACGTTCCTGTTGCGAAATTATGTCAGCACGATATTTTGCATTTCATCGATGACGACAACAGCAGCAGCAACAATAACTGACAGCTGAGAGCTCGTGCTATAGCCGGCCGGCGAACGCTTAGTCAGCAGTTTCTAATTGTTTAATGTCGATTAGCTGGTTCAGGTTTTTATGTTTAGCCTCACGGGAAATTGTAAATCAAGCTTAGTTTATTCTAATAGTTAACTGTGTGGAATATGTGGATTGGACTAGTTTTAAAAGTGCTCAAACAGGAATAACTAGCCTTGGAATAACAGCCTTTGCCTTAGTCTAGTTTTAGGCAAAGGTTCAAAAAGCGTTTGCAAATTATGAAGAAGAAATATAAAAAAAATATTTGCCTTAGCTTAATTATTAAAAATGTGTTGAAAACTTAGTACTAGGAAATTTGGTAGCATGAGCAAGAAATAGATAATAAAAATATATTTAATTATAAAATATTATTATTATTTACGTAAATAATAGTTGCCAAAACTTATATTTATATGCAGAGATCTTAGTACTGGGATATTTTGATAGAAAAAATAAATTAATTATAATTATATATGAAATATATACTATGTATAAGGTTAGTAATTATTTTAGCTATTCAGCTTATTTTATATATTACATAATTTTTTTAAATTTATTTTAAATTGTGGAAATGCTAATATCTATATTTATTACACAATTCTCTGAAAGTGTCGCACAAAAACCCAGCATAAATTAAAAAAAAAACTGATTTAAAAACTGTGAATATCAAATTGTTTTCATATTATGTAATTTAAATAAAAATTAATAAATATTCAATAGAAATAATTTATATGAGTAATAATTATAAATTTTAAATGAATTTCCAATAATTATGAATTTTTAATTATCTTCCATTTCAGAAGCGACACGCATTTGGAATATAATCATATCAAACGCCATGTCACGGTTTCAAAGCCCACTCGCTTTGGCCCTGCTGCTGCTGCTGTTGGCCATGCAAGGCGCCGTCAATGCCAGCTACCAGGCCAACATGTTCCTCAATGGTCAATATCAAAACGATATTAAGGAGCAGCCCGAAACGCATTTCTCCGTCAATCCCGTCTCGAATCCATTCCTGCATCATGCCGTGATCAGCAGACAGGCGTCGCCATTCCAAGCGCCAACCTATCTGCCGCCGCTGGAGCAGCTCAAGTGCGCCAATGGACAGCAGTGTGTGCGTCAGGATCAGTGCCAGAATGGCTACTTTAGCCAGCAGCTGCCCAAGATTCAGGTAAGCTAGCCAGTAGAAATCATCAGATTGTCGCTCTTGCTGTTGTTGCTGTTGTTTTTGTTGTCGTCTCGGGTCGCGCGGCTAGTTTGTTAGCAATTGCATAATGCGCATCGATTGTGGCTCGGTTAAACCCAATATTCATGAGTACGAGTAAATGTGGCAGGCGCTTGACAAGCGGCAGCCCGGCAACCGGACAAAAGGCCAACGCCAAATTAAAAGCCTGTCTACGGTCTGGATAATGTTGAAAATATGGCAATGCGCCTGATTAGCCAGATCTGATCTGCATTTTTTTTTTATTGTTGGCACAGTCACCGTTATTTTCCGGTTTGTCGTTACAAAAAATAAATATATATTTATACATATAAAAATGAAAACCAAAACACATTCAACCTTTCGTCGGCAGAGCATTTCGTAATAGCTGGCGAGTGAAATAAAAAGTGAAGTTCATGTTTAATTGCTGCTCGCCAAGTTCGCCGCTTGCCAAAAAGAAATTTATGTAAATGCACAAAAGTTGTTTTTCTTTTTTTTTGTTGCCCTTTTTGCTCTGCTGAGTGCTCGATTTTGCATATTCATCTGCCGCCCATAAATAACGTAAACAAAACAGATCACAGACCCCCAAAATTGATGCACCTGCAACTGCAACCTCCGGCGGTTTCTCCACATGATCTGGCTTATGGCCGCAAGAGTTCGAGCATCGAGCGTCTATGCAAATGAATGGCGACAATTGCAATTTGCGACCAAATTTTATAACTTATTTTGCTTTGAATGGCTCGCATCGCCGGCAGCTACAACAAAAGACTTAGGCAACAAACTTGCTGCATTTTTAACAACCTATTCACGTTTATGTGCGTGTGTGTGTGTGTGTTTGTGTGTGTGCATATAAAAAATGCATTTTATTTCGCGCTTACATTGCAAAACCAAGCAACTGAATTATGTTTTTTAATTAAAAATTATTGAAGACGATCTATGTCTACTTATTGGCCGCAACATCGACGCTGACGTTGACGTCGACGTCGGCAGCGGCGCCTCAAGTGCACATTTGACCCATTGACCAGCGACGACAAGTTTGGCAACTCAAATAACAGCAACAAATGCAATTTTATCGATGACAAACTTAATTACGCATACAAATAAGAAGGTATAGAATGCATATGTTTATTACAACTGCTAGACGGACAAATACCCTGTAGCTAAACGAAACCATGATGACCTGCAGACTTCTGTTACGCAAAGCCTTCTGCTAAAGATGCTGTAGTTTATTCTACATTTTTATAATCTTTGTATTGTTCGGCATTGGCCGTAGAATAGGAACCAAAAGTTGGAATTAGCGGTTCCCGCCCATGTTAGCCTTGTGGTGAGAAGCTTGAGCCGAAAAGTATTCTCTCGTTCATTACGCCTTTCACACGCATTTATCATCCAAGAGGGCGAATTTTCCAAAAAGTGTGAAACACCCCTCAAATAGATTTGAAAATGAGTTTGAGTCGATCGGCTGGTAAACAAAAGTGTGGCATATAAAGGTTTTTGAATTTCCTACACTTGCGGGTGGAATTTCCCAATGCCCAGTCTTAGCGTGCATCTGCATTACCTAAGGAAACCGCAGAATAATTTTCAGGCTCCCAGCTCATATGGCTTGGGCTGTGCATTGATCAACAATCAGTCAGTCAGTCTGTCAGTTAGTCAATAAGTCAGTCAGTCAGTCAGTCAGTTTTATATATAGAGATCATATATTCATATATTCTGTCAAGCTTGAATTTATTAACCGATCTTCCGTGTCCAATTTGTCAAAATGTGTGAATATGTTAACAAATTAAAACAAAAGTTTTATTTTTTGTTTAATTATGTAGGAATTTTTTGATTTGAAAACCTAAGCATATCAGATATTGATTAAAAAGCATAAATAAGATAACGACAGTATAGAACTGAATATGAAACTAAAATTAATTGCTTTTTATTAGAATATCTTCATTAGAATATAAATTGCATAAAGACTTTCCATGCACTTAATGCTTCATAAAAGTAAATAATTCTGTATTAAATATCTAGTCCTGACAAATTTGTGTTCTTCGTGGCAGCTATAAAAATGCATTTAAAATGTCATATGCTAAATGAAATAGTTTATAAAAATAATCTATTATTTATCAAGAAAAAGAATATCAATGTCACTTGTCTGTTTAATATGCGATTGACTCTAAATTTATTTAGCGCTTTATTTTTTGTCTATAAACAAAAATGTGTAGCTCAAGCCATGTTTGTTTGAATAAACAAATATAGTCAAAAGATATATGTATATACGCAGTTTAATGTGAATTTTAAGTGTGCATTTCAAGCATTTTTATTCAATTTAATTAGCAATAGCGTTTAAAAATATGGTTCTAAATAATAAATTATAAATAACATATTTAAGCTAAATGTGCGGAGCACACGCGCGTTTTGGCTACGAAACATGTTGATTAGCCGTAGCTAATAAGGCTTAATTTAGTGTGGTTCGAAATGGGCAGCTCAGCTGCTGGAATTTGGTCATTAAAGCGGCTTAGAGCAATGAACCTGGAAATCGAAAGAATGTCTATAATAAGTGCGACTATTAATAGCTGTATTTAAGAGCTGAACGCTGTCGATTGCTTAAATTAATTGACTAGCACCAGATTATTGAGTTGATTAAAGCCAAGCTACAATTGGTAATTAAAATAATGCCAATGATTATCAGTCAATGGCAACCACGTGTACTTTAACCATCTATGTATCTATAACGGGCAGCTGGCAAATATATTTGCAGACCACAAATGTTGACCAATTCGCGCCTGGTCAATAGACAAAGAGCCAAATCGTTAGACAAATATTTAACGCGTGGGCGTCGCAACGCACTGAGTCACAACATTGTGTTTGTCTCTGTGCTTTTGGCCAAATTAGGCAGTCGGCTAACAACTTGTGTGTAAACTTGACTTTGACATAGTCAACAGTGCGAGTTATGCCAATTGTTTTTTTTTTATTTCTTCTCCATTTCGATTTTCGATTTGTTTGCATTTCCTGAACAATTCACAGCTTTGCGCTTAAGGGAATCCATAATACAATAATATATTTATATTTGTCGAAATACCTCACATTTTTGTTGCTTCTTTCATTAGCGCTCATTATTATTAGCACACAGCATGCCAAAGATCTTAAGTCAATAAACAAGCCAAATATTTGTGCGAATTTTAGAATATAATTTGCGCACACAAGCAATTAAAGTTGAATACATAAAAAAAAAAGCACAACAATCAATGCTCAGGAAAAATTCTCAGCACGATGATGTCAAGTGCTGTGTGCCGCTTATTTTTATGATTATTCACAAATTTAACAGTGTTTGGACTTACGTCAAAAACGCCGCACACGTTCCGTTTGTTTAAAAAAAAGGTTGAACAACCTGTGCGCTGAAAACCCCCCAATTTAAGATAACCAACTGAACCCGTGCAGCTAGTCATCCGGTTTGACGGGAATAGTTCAGTTCAGAGTCTAGCCCGGCGTACACACGTGCGCGCCTAACATGTTAATGTTATCCTGAAACCTGAGAAACAAATGCCTCGTAGAGTATTCTAACATGCTGCTGCCCCAGCAGAATATGTGTGCTTAAGCCAGATGTTTTAGCATTTATTATACAAGCTAGTTCAGGCTTTACTTTCAACTTTAAACAAAGCTTAAAGTGCTTCACAGTCATTAAGTTTTGTGTTTTATTTTTATGCTTATAAAAGCGTTTCATAAATTTGTCAGTCGTGATTTAAATGATTGGACTGTGCTACTACGCCGAGGCCCTACATAAAACTGATGTTCTACATGTGCCTTGACAAGAATTTCTAGTTTTCGAATACCGATTTGAGCGTGTCTAGTGATCAGCGTTTTATTACCCAAGGTCGATTCGTTCGATTATTTGTTTTTTTCTATCTATAAATATATAGCTTAAGCGTGTGTTTTGTGTTTCGTGAGGCTGTAAAATGTGAACATAAATTAGCCAGAAATCAATTTGGCCTGAAAGCCAGCGAGCCGCAGCTTGATTGATATGGTATCAGACCCATATATATATATATACATATATATAGCGTGCTACAGTTCATCTTTGAACTGGTTATGTTTGCCTAGGAAATGAGTTCAATATTGAGTGAATTGCATAATTAAGATTAATGGCTCAATCTTGAGCCAGCGCTATTTAAGCCATGTTAATGCTGCATTTAAGAAATCGCATGGCCAAGCTAATTGATTTGCATATACGTCTAAAGCACGCCTTTGGCTACTGTGAGGCTTCTGTAGCTGCTGTCAAGCAAGACGCAAAAACCAAGAAAAAAAAAGCCTAGCAGAAGAAGCACCTTGGTAATTCTTGAACTTCTGGCCCGCAGCCAGCTAACATGATTATTATTATTAATTTACAATTGTTCAAATGCCAGCTGGACGTTTGGCTTAAACAAATTAGCCAGCATTGGCGAGGCGTTGCGAAGGTTCCATTAGAATCACATAAAACCGTTGAATGAAGGCGGCAAAGTTCAATGCAAATGCTGCAATGCCAACAAGAGGCTAAAAGATAATAAAAAGTAGCTGAAGACTGTGGCAAGAAAAAGCGCAGCATAGGCGGCATTTGTTTGGACATTATTTTAACACATCATTTATGCAACTGCAATGGCCGCTTTGCTGACCTTTTGCCAGAGGCGACTGCAACAACAATTGCTGCAACAGTCGCAGTCGCAGCAGTAGCAGCAACGATCGTTTAGGCCGCTTAATTAATGCCGATGCCAACGAGTGGCAACTTTATGGCTAACAGTGTTGGTCAAGTACGCGGCTACTAAACACATTGATTGATTGTGCGACAAGGCAAGTGGACAGTAAGCTTTGTATCTGTCATTTGCCAAGTTCGTTGCAGCAGTCATTTGTGTTTTTATTGCCTACACAAATTAAAGAAAAATACAGGATATTTCATAGCCATCGTTGAATGGGCCATAAAAATACAACATCTAAGGATATGCTGTAAAAAACATTTTGCCTAAGCCTAAGACTTCAGCTTTTGGCTGTAACAGACAGTTATGTAATTTCTGTAGGTTCGTTGCCTAAGTCATTCGTTTTAATAGCTATAAAAATATACGTTAAGAAAGGATATCATATATCAAATTAGCTTCAGTTTTTTTTTATGCTTTTGAATGGGTAGCTATTGCCTGAAACAGGTTTGTTTCCTCAGTCTTTGGATTTTTATGGTCTATGTAAATTTAGTTGCAACAAATAATTTTAAAACTTATCATCACATATTAAAGAAGACATATTATATGAAAATTAAGTTTGAAGACATAGATATGAGGAGTTGTATAAGCATTAAGTTTGAGTGCACAGCTATGACAAGTTCGTTGCCTCAGTCATTCGTTTGTAGGACCTGTAACTATTTAAAGATCGATATAGCCATATCCTTCTGTTCGTCTGTCCGTCTGTATGAACGCGTCGGCCTCGATTCTACAATATCTAAAGACTTCAGATTTCAAACATATATTCTCCTATACCATATGTAGAGCAAGTTTATCTTTCTTTTTTCTTGATATATCATTCCACTATCAAAACATCGATCAATATTGAATTTAAGACTTGGTTTCTTAAGCAAATGTATGTGAATTTTATAAATTTCTCTCATTTCATCTGATTTTAAACGTGACCATTTTGCTCTATGCTTGCAGAACTGCAATCCCGAATCAAACATCTGCTGCACTTACCGACCACCGGCCACAACGACGACAACAACCACAACAACCACGCCCGTGCCGTATGCCACCTGTCCACGTGATTCGGATTGTGTGGCGCCGCAAGATTGTCGCAATGGTGAAATCAGCGCCATCAACTATGTGAAAAAGCAGGGGGTAAGTTGTGATAAACCATTTGTCAGACCCAAACCGTTTAATTGGCTCAACTTGAGCAACACACACGCACACACACAAAAAATAATCATTAGCACCGGAAAATGATCTGGGCGTATCAAAAATATCAAGTTTTTTGTTGTTGTTGTTGTTGTTTGTGAGCAGCCGAAAAAGCATTAGAAAAAACCCAACAACTGCATAAAATCGCATTTGGATGTGCCAATGATGAGATGCCCCGAAAACAAAGCGTTCCGCAGTTAAATGCAGCAATCGCAGCACATTTCACAAGCAACTGCAACTGCAACTGCAGCAGCCAGCGGCAGCAGCAGCAGCAGCTGGAAAAACCCACAACAGTTACAGATGCAGCTGATTAGCACACAATTAGTTTACATTTTGAAGCAAAATATTCTTTTGTTGTTGCTGATTGTTGTTGTTGTTGTTGTATCTGTAACTAGATGCAAATTGCACTCAACTTTTGATCTATTTGGTTGTTTTTTTCTTGTTCGCATCAAATTCTGTGAAATGACGAATTGTCCGCCTTTGCAATCCGAGATTTCAAATCGGCTTTGACACGACATCAGCTAGAACCCGCTGAGATAAGTCTCATCGCGGCGTGGGAGTGAGGCGTGTCAGCTACAATTGTCATCTAATATTCGTGCTTAAAAGCTTACAGCACAGGAGTTTTAAATTGGAATCAATAGTAAATTCAATATAATTGAAATATAATAATTGCAAATGAAATCTAGATTTTGTTATATAATATTTATATAAAGCTAGCACTGCGCCCATATAGAAATCTATATCTTTTTTTTTGGCTTTTATAAAGTTTAACTTCATTTTATATTTTGTGAATAAGTTTTTCACTATTTCATCTATATTATTAGTTATTTGCCCTAGTCATGTTCTCACACAGTTTGTATTTCAATCAAAGAGTTTATTTGAATTCAAAAAAATAATAACTTCAATTTAAATACGAAATTTTGAGAATTTCCAGCTTTCACTATATCCGACTTAACTCTTGAATTGTTGCTGCATTTAGCCACATTCAAGCTTTTAGCTTGAAATAAATAACACAAGCTGCTTTTTAGCTACAAATGATTTACATATAGTGAAAATGTATCTGATTTACATAGTAATACGATGACATTGCCCAAGCTCGAGTCCGAGTCCGCGCGAGAGGCTGCAGCCAGTGGCAATGTCAAAACGAAAGACTCAGGCAACGAACTTGATGCCGTCAAGTGGCAATCAAGCAATGGAATGCAGTTGAACTTACGAGCAATGTGCATGAAATGCATTCAAGCCAAAAAAGTGTTAAATTACGGCCTACCAGAATACTAGCCAGGTGAAAGAGACAGCTAGAGGCGGACAGAGGAAAGAGATGGCAACAGGCACTTGCAGATTTATTCAGACCGGGCTGGCATTGCAATTGCATAATTTGTTTACATGCAATGGCCAACAAAACGGGTCAGTTGCGTACTCAACGCTCTTGTTGCCCGTTGCCCGTTGCCGGTTGTTGCACGCAAAAAATAAACAGAAAAAAAAAGAGAAAAAAATCAGCACAGCAAGTGAATTATGTTGCAGCAGCGCCTGTTGCAGCCACGCACTTAAAACTGAAATCGTTTCAGCCAGTTGATGTTTTCTTATTCAGTTTTTTTTGTTTTTGCTGGCTGCTCATTTCGGTGGGCCGCAGCCTCATAATTTGCCTCGACAGAGAGGGGAGCGAGCTGGCAGCTGGCTGCGACCAGGCCCAGCAACAATTACGCACCAAAAAGGTGCCTCGAACTCGTTAAGTTATGCAGGCATTGACGCCAATTGCGTGGCATGCTACAAAATGCACGCTGGGGACAACAAGCAACGGCAACAGCAACAGACGAACCAGTTGCCGCAATGTATACCTAATTTACAAGAGTGCGAAGAGGCAAAAATAACTTAAGTAGTTTAACAGTGAAAAATGCGCGGAATGCAACATTGCAAGGTCGTACGGCAACCCTCTCTGTCAAGCGTTGCATCGGGAGAGGCCACACTGTGGCCTAGGCCTAGGCACGCTCTCCCTCTTCCTCTCGCTCTCTCCCTCTCTCTCTCTTGCTGCGCGCATATCTGATCAATTCATGTTTACATGCCACATGCCACGCATGCCCACTGTGCCCATATCGGCTATTGACCGACCTTTAAGTTTCAGCATTTGCCAAGCTTATTGATAACGTGCATTCGCTGCCTTTTTAATGGATCCTCCTCTGACCAGCTGACCAGCTGACCAACTGAACTAAACGACTTCTCCAGCCATATAAATAGCATCGTATAATTATGTAGATGATTATGGCGCATATTTTCATTATGGCCATTTATCATTTGGGCTGCGGTACTGTGTGCTGTGCATGTTGCATGTTTTACATTTTGTAACATGCTGCATTGCGTGAACTCAATTTTTAGTGTACATATTATTTTTTAGTTCCAGTTTCATGTAATTTATGTAAAACGAAATGTTGTATTTTTCATCGTTAATTTTTTTTTTTGTATTCAACGAGCCGGTTTAACACTTGCAACTTTGACAAATTTTAAGCTACGGATAAACCTTGTTTACTGACATTTAACATAGTAAATTATATTTAATTTATTGCATCCAAGTATTTTAATAGAGAGTAATAGAGCTTAAGAATTAATGCGACATGCTTCAATTATATACTATGCATAAAAGACATATTTCATTTGAAATTTAAAAATAGCCCATCAAATTCCAACAACAATTTCATTCAAATATTGCAACAATTTAACATTCAACTATTTCATTCAAATAGATTTACAAATGTTGGTTTAATTCGATTATTATTTTAAAATGCCTAAAGCTTGTATTCAAAAATCCATTAGAGGATTACTTTAGCATTCATATTTGTTAATGTACTAAATTCGAAATTTTTTTCCCTGATCTAGTTTAGGATATAAACTGACTTATGAATAGCAAATATTTAATTTAATGAATTTATCTTTTTAATTTTATGCATTTTTTCAAATAAAGCATGAACCAGAGAAAAATCCATTTAGCATATATATTTGTTAGGAAAATCCTAGCGAGATTAAAACGTAAGACAGTCGTTAGGTTTTTTCTGCAGGCTCTAAACAGACTAGACCTCATTAGGGCACATTAGGCTTCCCTTTCTAATTGTTTGAGGCTTTAAAATAAATTTGATTGATTGGCCAGGCAAATAGCATTCAAATTTTTGCAAACTCTCCAATTTCGTATAGAAATCTGAGCAAAACTTGACCAATGGGGTCTTTGCATTGAACCCAACTACTGACCTAGCATTCCGTTTGGCAGGCATTTGGGGTTTTTATTGTTTTACCTAGATTTGCTGTCATAAGTGTTGCGTTATTTAAGCTTTTACTGTAGACAGTCATATGGGCAGCTGACTGTCATGTTGAGAAGGCAAATACCGTAAGACAGACAAAAGCAACAAAAGGCTAACACAGCAAACAGAGCATGACGAGTAGGCACGCAGCAAACAACACCACTGACAATAATGATGATGATGTTGATGATGCAGATGATGCTGACGATGATGATGATGATGACGACAACTACAACAACTTCAAGGTCTAGGTCGTAGTCGGAGACAGCCAGAGGCTTTGCGGGGCGCCAGACTTCGCCAAGCAGTCGTTGACAGCGTTTAACATTTTGTTGTTTTTTGTTTTTTTTTTTTTTGTCTTTGTATTTATTGATTTTGTTTATATTTTTTGTGCTTATATATTTGGTATTTCTTTGTCTGTCTTTGGGCTTGAAGCTCAATTATAATAATTATTATTATGGTTCGGGGGGATCTTTGAATGCATGCATATCATTATCAATGATTTCTGTTATAGATATGCGCGCTTATATATAATTTATATGAGACTTTAATAACACTTCAAGCTCCGCTGGCCACATAATTAATAGCACTCAAAGCCGATACAAATTTGATTTAATTTATACGCCATCTAGTTGGCTTGCGCTATAAATTTTCTGTTTTAGCGGACATGCATTATTTATGGCTTAGAAGATGTTGCATAAACAAAAGACTTAAGCGACAAACTTGGGCCATTAAATGCTATCCGACAGCTCAATGCACATCAGGGCCGGGCCGGGCCAAGCCGGGCCGTACCGAACCTGGCATCAGTTGCAAGAGGCCAAAAGCTAATAAACACACAGATTCAATATATTTTTGGTATTTTTTATAGGCGCATAAATTGCCAAAGCTTATAAAAGAAAAAAAAATTACATTGATACAACTACAAGATCGAGGAATTTAATGCTGTGGTATTTGCCACATTAACGCTGTCATAAAAAACAATTTCGCGAAACATTTGTGTCATAAATTTGTATTTTACATAAGGCACCAGAAGAACACTTGACATTTCCAAGCGAACACTCGAGAGCCAGGCTTCAGTTACAAATGAACAGCCCATCTCCAAGCTCTAATGACAGTAGTTGAAAAATGCAATAGCTTCATTTCAAGATTCATCTGGGAAGCAGCATGAGATGTTAGAGTTCAAAAGCAGCATGAATTAATATATTTCAGCTTAATTAATTCATTTTTGATAAGTTATAAGTAGATACTAAATATAATACTTTGTATGAAATATTTTTATATTTTATATAATATATTTTTATATTTTATTTGATATATTTTAAAAAAAAAAATCAAGGAGCCTTTTCGCTTATTTTTTAACTATGCACAAAATCTAACAGAGAGAGCTTTTTCACTCTTTTCTTTTTACTATTTACCAACACTGTCAATAATAATTTTTTAGAATATAGCGTGCATATAAAAAGAGATTTACAATTTTTTATAATAAAACAACACTAACAAAAATAATTCTTAATAATATAGAGCACATATAGAAAGCTTTTCAAATGGTTTCGATTTCTTACATTAAAACAAAGCACATTTTCACAACTTTCTAAGCCATTTACCAACACTGCCTCATGAAGTTTTATATGATATAGAGTGTAATTAAAAAGCTTATAAAAGATTTAAGATCTATTAAATGTTTAATTGCATAGCCTAATAATTTAATTTAGCGCAAGGCCCTCGCGTATTTGCCTGCCTTCTCTCTCCGCCCTGCTCCCTCCTCACTTTTACACTCTGTGCTTTTGAACATTTTTTTACCTTAATCTAATAATCAAGTGCCATTTTAAGCTAGTGTCATTGCCAACATGACTTTATGTACTATTAGCCTTTGGTCAGTTCGTTGCCTAAGTCATTTGTTTTGTTTCGTCTTTTGCTTGGCTCAGGGAACAGCTGCCGCGCCTGGCTTGGCTTGGCTCGCTTAGCAATGGCATTAAAATAAATTTCATAAAATTTCATATACTTATTGTAATTGCAACATTATTAACAAATTGCAGCGCGCCGCAACTGAGACAAGCAACAACAACAACGAACAAGTTGTATGGCCAACAAAATTTATTAAAAGCATTTTGGCGTCATTGTTGCTGTCGCCCGTACAAGTAGCTTCGGCTTGCTGTTCTTGTTGTTGTTGTTGTTGTTGTGGTTGTTGTTGTTGTCGCTGTTGTTATCTTGAAGCTGCAAAATGATTGATCATAAGCAAGAAAGCAAGAGACGCGACTTAATCGGCAATCAAGTGGAAGCTGAGAGCTGCTACCCGCTGCCTGCTGCCTGCTGCCTGCAGCTTGTCATTGATCAACAACAACAACAACAACAAAAAATATGCCAGTTTCGCATTGTTGTAGCGGTTTTTTGTTTTTTAATGATAACGTGTATTACATAAAATTTAATGCGTGCGTCTCTTGCTTTATGCTTAATGCTCATTGGTCATTGAGTGATGTCTACATTAAGATAACATTTGATTAACGCTTAATTGATGAAAATTATGCCAGAGGGTCAACTAATGATAATGATAATGATAAGAAATTAAGGCAGCCAGGAAGGACAACCGGACCACATGCGACAACGTCTTGCAAATTTAGGCCAAGCCTTGGCCAGCGGAAGCGACGCATTCCCCCATTTAATTATAATTATTAATTTGTCATCCGACGCATCTCGACGGCCTGTCGCTGTACGCTTTTCGCTTAATTTTTAACAAATGTGCACATTATTTTTTGTTTTTTTTTTCCTTATTCTTGCTTGTTTTTATCTTTTTTTTATTTTGATTATTATTGTTTTTTCGCACGCCCCGCGGTAGCAGCTGCTGTCTGTCGTCTGCTGCTTGAATTATGAGTTACAAATTGCGCGAAAACAATAAAACAGAAGGTCGCAACGTTGACAACGCGGCCGTGCGAAGAGCTCCGGCTTGGGATCTGTTTAATTTTTGCTTGGTTTTTGAATTTGTTTTTCAAGAATTTACAATTCAATTCTTTTGTGGGCGGCCATACAAACATTACGATTGCGTAAGCATTGCGACAATCAAGAACCAGTTCCCCCCCCCCCCCCCCCCCCCCCCCCCCCCCCCCCCCCTCTTTCATGCAAATGCGAGGTGTTGAAAATAATAATAATTGTAATCTGTAAATTTGCGGAACAAAAAATTAAGTGAAAAATAAGCTGAGCTAGAAGTGCAGAGGCACAAGTACTATTAATAGAGATTGTTTTCTAAGTCTGCTGCAAATGTCAACAACTTTATAAAATGCCCAAGGCATATGGATTGCGCATCTTTTAAAGCTTTGCTTATGACCTGCTACAGATAGCTTTGTGCAAGGCAATTATATAAAATATATTTAAATTGATTATTATTCTATATAATTATATGATATTTATATTTATTAACTTGAGCCTGTAAATAAGTAAATATAAGAGAAATTCGCCAAAACAAACATTATAAATATTTGTTACATTTTAACAAGTTGATTTCTTTTTTCTTCTAGTATGCATAAATAAAATAAAAATTGCATATTTAACTATTTATTAAGCAGCTCTGTCAAGCTTCAATACAAATCTCAGCTGTTAGCTGACAAAGAAAAAATTGCTTGGAATATTCATTTGTTTTATGAGCTAGCTTTTTGTTTAAGCTAACGGAATAATACAATATATAAAATTAATATCAAGTATACTACAAACAAATTCTTAAACAATAAAATACCTCGCCTAACAGAAAGAGTATTTAAGCTACGTCACGTCCCTTATAGATTTTCGTGTATTCTTTTCTTATGTATAAACATTTTTTGTTTCCATAATTTGTGTAATTTTTGTGTAGCGGCACTTTGATTGTAGAACCGACTAATTGCCGCTGAATGAAGCCGTTAATGTGCACATTTATATTAATATTAATATTCATTTTATTAATATGTGTCTAGACGTGTTATTTATTCATTCGATTTTCATAAATGATTTTTACACAATTTAGTCATCAATTTGTTTTTGTTTGTCTTTTATTTATTTGATCATTTTTTTTGTTTTTTTTTTTTTGTTTTGTCACGCACCCACAAAGTTTCTCAAATGTTTTCCGTTTGCAATAATTGTTGGAGATTTTAGCATATAAATAAGCAAATTAATAGACAATGTGTGTGTGTGTGTTAGTGTGTGTGTAGGTGTTGCCAGCGAGCAAAAGACTTAGGCGACAAACTTGACACAGCAACTGCCGCAGCAATTGAAACGTTTTGAAACGTTTTCTTGCCGCATAGATTGCACCATGAAACTGCAAATTTCTGGGTTAACATTAACACCAGATTCAAAAGCAAAAGAAGAGGCTGCAGCACACGAAAAAAAAAATAGAAAAAAAAAAACAAGCAAAACAATTGACAGGCAGCATTGGCCATTTTAATGAGCGGGTTGCCGTGCTCAACAGTCGAGTGGTTGGCAGCAGTTGCCAGTCGCTTGTTGCTGGTAATTTAATGCGCTGCCTCATGGACTCCAAAGCACGACCCAGACACGGCTTTGACTCTCCGCCCATTGCTAATTTGTGTGTGCCCTCCCTCTCTTGCTTGGCAAATTTATAATATCTGTCTCTCGCCTTTTTGTTTCTTTCAGGCAAATCGTTGCTATGAGCCGGAGATTTGCTGCCGCATGCCATCGACTACGCTGACCGAGGATGGCTACATTTTCAACCTGCCCGAGAAGACATTCCCGCTGCCCACCAATCCCACCGTGCCCGCCGTGCGCACCACACAGCCCGCCTATCGGCCACAGCCCACAACTGCGCCTGCCCCACGTCCCACCAATGAGTATCTGCCGCCCACAACCACACGTCGTCCCGTGGTTGATTATTTGCCACCGCAAACCACTCGCCGGCCCATCTATCAGCCGCAGCCAACACAGACACGCGCTCCGCAGCCGACACGCCCACAGCCCACGCAGCAGCCGTACCGCCCACAGCCCACGCAGCCGCCGTACCGTCCGCAGCCCACACAGCAGCCCTACCGCCCGCAGCCCACGCAGCAGCCGTACCGTCCACAGCCCGAGCAGCCCGCACCCACTCAGCCTGCGTACCGTCCACAGCCCACACAGGCGCCGACGCGTCGCCCCACCAATGAGTACTTGCCGCCCGTGTCTGTCAACGAGATTCCACACCGCGAGCCGCGTCCCACGCAGCCGCCACGATATGAGCCGGACCGTGTGCCACAGCCGTCCAATGAGAAGCCCGTGTACCGCGGCGAGGATCAGCTCTCGCCCCAGATCTTCCCTACGCCCGGTGCCGCCGATTTGCCCAAGCACTATGCCAAGTGCGCCTCAGCGCTTGTCTGCAGCCCGGAGAACTATTGCAATGCCATTGGCGTGCTGAGCGATACGCCCCTGCAGCTGAGCCCCATGGAGGCCGCCTTCCGTGTGCCGCTCACCGACTGCCTGCTGCCCGACAATGGTGCGCCCGGCAAGTGCTGTCGCGATCCCAACTATGTCGATCCCTGGCCCGTCAATCTCGCCGGCGTTTGCGCCACCCGCAACAAGCGGTAAGCGGCGATACCTTTTGGAAACTAACCTGGAACAGTTGCTTAACTTTCTTCCTCGTCCGATTTGATATTTGCAGCACCAAGCCCACGGGCGTTAAGGATATTGATGCCAACTTCGCCGAGATCCCATGGCAGGCGATGATTCTGCGCGAGTCAAGCAAGACCCTGCTCTGCGGCGGCGCCATCATTGGAGACGAGTTCGTGCTTACCACGGCCAGCTGTGTGGACGGGTAAGTTTCCTTTTTTATCTAGTCTCTAGTCTCTAGAAGATTACAATACTCGCCCTGCCGCTGCAGCGTGCCCGTCAACGATGTGCGCATCAAGGCCGGCGAATGGGAACTGGGCAGCACCAACGAGCCGCTGCCCTTCCAGCTGGTGGGTGCCAAGACCATTGACGTGCATCCCGCATACGATCCCTCGACCAGAGCCAATGACATGGCCATCGTACGCCTGGACAAGCGTTTCGAGTTCGCCACCCACATTCAGCCCATCTGCATCAGTGACGAGGATCCCGGCGCGTCCGAGCAGTGCGTGACCACCGGCTGGGGCAAGCAGGCGCTGTCAAGTAAGCCCAGAAGAAGAAAGCAGCCCAGTCTATGGACAAGTTTGATTAATTCCTTGCAACTCTCACACCACAGTTCATGAGGAGGGCGCCATTATGCACGTGACCCAGACCTCGACGCAGGCGCGCAGCGATTGCGGCGCGGACGGCACCAGCGTCTGCAGCGCCACCAAGTTCGATGCTTGCGAATTTGATGCGGGCAGCGCGCTGGCCTGCGGCAGCGGCTCCAATGTCAAGCTCAAGGGCGTCTACAGCGGCGAGAACAATTGCGGCGAGAATCAATCGGTGCGCTTCGCCAAGCCAGACATCAAATGGATCAATCAGGCATTTGCCGATCGCAGCAAGCCGCTGCTCCTGAAGCGCTTCTAGAGGCGCCTCGGGCCGCTGAACAGGATTTAGCCAACCAATCGAGTGTACAACAAACGGAAGATGATATCCAGAATGTTGAGCAATCAATCCATCGGGCGACAGCTCAACTGTTGCAAACGTGTTTTTTTTTAGTTGAACTATTTTTAATGTAGCCAACTTTGCGCTGCTGTTAAACTCTTTTCACTCTTCCCGAAAGCACCGCCAGCACCCGCATCATCACACTGACCAGCAGCAGCACCATCCCATCCCAAACCACGAACCACTCCACCACATCTACCCCGTCCACATTTCTAATTTATTCAAAACAAGTGTCTTTTGTCTTTACCTTTCTTTGAGTTTTTAACTGCCAGCGTTTCTTCTCGAATCTATTTCTATTTTAGTTCAAATAAGCAAAGTGAACAATTTTAATGGTATAGAAGTCCAGCAAGTTGTAAAATATTTAATTATAAGCCTAGGTTCTACGGACAAACTCGATGAATTGCCAATACGAACAATACGGACGAACGAAACCCAAAATTCAACCACATTCAAATCAAACAACAACGATGAACCGCAAACCTCCAAGTCCTTTGAGAGAAATTGAGATTATACAAGAAATAATATATTTTTTTGATTTTTTCTATCATTTACTCTACTGCGTACCTAGCTTAAGCGATACCCGCCCACGCCCCCTGACCCCTACATCATCCTTATAGCCGTGCACCCTTTCACATATGAGAGCACCAATACCGAGATTTACCGTTATTTAAAGCTTTTTCCTATATCGTAAATCGTATAATATGTATGTATGTAATATGTTAAACATGTTGTATAAAGTGTCTATGCATCTAAATTTAGCTTCTTATTTAATTTTTAAATAAAGAGAAATTATTTAGATATATCGTAAATGCGCGCATTTATATTTTCGTTCTTCCTTTAAATCACATTCAATTTCATATATATATATATATATATATATGAACTACGATTTGGCTAGAAACTAATACATATATATATATATATATATATATATATATATATATATATATATATATATATATATATATATGTATTAGTTTCTAGCCAAATCGTAGTTGGTCGTATACCAGAGCACAGATGCCTCTATGGCTTCCTGGAAGTCTGTAAACTTAAAGTCCGGCAATAGGCTGCGCAGCTTGGCATTAGATGCCGTCTTCTTATGTTGTCCATCTGCTTTGCTCGTATCACAGACCAGTTTACCCTGGAAAAACAATAAGCTTTATAAGTAAGCTTAAGACATCATTTAAAATACAGCCGAACTTTAAACGTATTAATTATTTTGGCTACGGATGCCCATGGCTCACCTTAAACTTAAATGCCTTGGCTATGGCTTCTGCCACTTCGTAGATCGTCACCTCTGACGACTCATCCACGCTGAGCACAATTGGCTCAACGCTGTCGTAGTGCCGCAGCACCCATATCATCAGCTTGGCCAAGTCCAGGGAGTAGATGAACTGACGCAATGGCTTGCCGCTGCCGTAGACTGTGAAAACCTTTTCGCTTTCGGGCGTTTCCGGCTGCTCTGTGCGCAGCTTGTGCATGCGATTGATCATGCCCGGTATGACGTGACTCACCTCGGGCTTATAATTGTCGTGTGGTCCGAATATGTTGCAAGGTATCACAGATGTATACAAGTGTCCGTACTTGTCATGATATGCGTGATTCTGTATGTCTATCAAACGCTTTGCATACGAGTAGCCATAGTTGGAGGCGTGTGGTGGTCCGTTGTGCACCATTGTCTCATCGATGGGGTAGGTGGTCTTGTCCGGAAAAATGCAGGTGGACAGGCAGGAGACAACCTTTGTGCAGCCCAGCTCATGTGCCGTTTGCAGCACATGATCGTTGATCAGCAAATTGTTGCGCTGAAATAGATAAGATGAAATTGAAGGCTCTGCGAACAGCTGAGGCGGCGCCTTTTTACCAAGAAATCCAGATTGTTGTTCATATTGTGAAACAGTCCCCCGACCATGGCAGCCAAATGTATAACATGCGTCGGTTTCACTTTCTCAAAAAGTGCCTGCGTGGCCGCCAGATTTCTGCATTGTTTATAAAAGTCAAGCCAAATATTGTGAAGTACAAACAAAATTCACTAACGTCAAATCGGCATCTTTGGAGCCGGCAAAGAACCATTCCTCGTCGCTTGGCTGCTCATTTTCGATAATAGCCTGCAATGCATTGCCCACAAGACCAGTACCGCCCGTAACAAGCACCTTTTTCATAATTCCAACAGCTTTTATGTGTGAAGTTCACTTTTAACAACAAATTCAACCACCTGATAGACTTAATAGTGATGCTCAATGGGAGAAAAGGTATGAGCGATATATTGAGTTTGTATGTCGCTGGTATCGATAGGGCTTACAATACCAAACATATCGATATGGCATACAATTCCAGACGTATATCGGCGGCAGTAATCGACTTCTTGTACTCGATACCTCATTTGTTGTTTGTCAGCCGGCTTGCAGTGAAAATTTGTTTATGCGTGGAAAAAATGCACAATTAATAAATAAATAAAATGGATACGCAAATTTTAGATGCCGTCAACGACTTTCTGGTAAGATTAAATAAAGCAGCAATTATTGTGTGACTTCTAAGCGCGCTAATTTACGCAGAAAGTGGACTCCATAGACGAAGCGTTTGTGAGCGTCATTTTATTCAAGTCCGAGGATGACAAGGCAAGCAATTTTACAAATAATTTGAGTAAGTAAAGCCATAAATTCTGTTTCAGCACGCATTTAATGTGTACTTCTTGCAGTTACCGCATTCGGCAATGTGGAAAATCGGGAACAGGTACTGCGCTCGTATTTGCTGCGGGCCGCGGAAGCCCCAAGCTACCACATGCAGGTGCTGATGGGAGCGCTGCCCAAATTGGTGGATGCGCACCTCATTACGGCAAGGTGGGTGAGTTTCCAGCCATATGATGTATAAATATTAATATGCGTACAATTATAGAATGCTGTGCGACAAGGTTTTGTCCTGCGAGAAACTCGACTATGAGCGCAAAACCTTTTGGATCGAAAGTTTCCGGCTGATCAAAAAGGTAATCGCGCATGTGGACTATAAGGGCGTGCGTGAGATCATGAAGGCGTGTCGCGACAAGGCCCAATGGTTTCCACTCAATGTCAACGTCACATATCTACCCCAATTGCTCGCCGTGGAGGAAATCATACGCTTTATATTCGATCGTAACAACTGCCTGTTGCCCGCGTACTTCATAGCCAATGAAATAATGCGTCCGTTTCCCTATCACTGGAAACTTAACAAACTGATGACTGATTTTGTTGAGGAATTCCGGGCTACAGCGCAAATGGTTTCGATCATTGGCCATGCAAATATGCTGCCCATTGTGGAACATTTTGGCTATGCCGATCACTTGATGAACTCCTGGCGACTGGATCACAACACCTTGAAGTTCAACTTTAAGGGCAGCCTGCCGTATGAGCCCGAATTGCTAGAGGATCAGACGCCTTTGTTGCGCTATGTGCTGGAGCAGCCGTACTCGCGCGAAATGGTTTCAGTCATGCTCAATCTTCAAAAGCATCAGAAGCAGCGCTACAATGCGCTCGAGGAGCAGCTGGTCAATCTGATAATACATGCCATGGAAATGACTGAATCGAATGATGCCACTGCGGGCAGTGGCTTCAATGCTACCGACGAACAAATTTCGCCCAACGAATGGGTGTGGCTGCATCTCTCCTCACAGTTGATTTACTTTGTGCTCTTTCAATTTGTCAGCTTTATGCACATTGTACTGGCTCTGCATGAGAAGCTATCGAAGCTGGAGCTGCGCAAGGGTCGCGATCAGCTGATGTGGATACTGCTGCAGTTCATCTCAGGCAGCATACAAAAGAATCCCGTATGTAGGCCAACTTGGACAACCCCTGATTATAGCTTATAAACTCAATTTACTTCCTTTACGCAGATCACCAACTTTTTGCCTGTGTTCAGACTCTTTGATCTGCTCTATCCAGAACAGGAGCCACTCAAGCTGCCCGACTACAACAAGTCTTCACTGGTCCGTCACATGGCGCCCATCTGCATCTGGATACATCTAATGAAAAAGGCGCGTGTGGAAAATATGAACATAACACGACCGCTGCCAATTGCGCTGAAAAACCATCAAGAGTGCGTATTTTGTATCTTTATCTGTTCTTTTCATAAACTAATATTTCTTGCAGCTTTCTGCAGCATCTGGTCGCGCCAAATAGCATGATGAACGTCACGTTGGGCAATGATTTTCGCATTATACTCATCTGCAATGCATACTCAACCAATCAGGAGTACTTTGCGCGACACATGAATGTATTGTTGGATGCCATGAATGGCAATGCGAAGTCAGCGAACGGCACACCGATACCAGCTGTTACCTACTCCGTCTCAGTGCTGGACAGCCTGACGGTGCACAGCAAAATGTCTCTGATACACAGCTTTGTTACGCAAATGCTGAAGCAGGCGCAGAGCAAGACGCTGGTCCCGGCACCGGCGCTCATTGAAACCTATGCCAGATTGCTGGTCTACACTGAGATTGAGTCGCTGGGCATCAAGGGTTTTCTGAGTATGCTAGATAAGATAAAGATTGTTAACTTAATGGCTTATTCATTATCCTCTTTATAGCTCAACTGCTGCCTACAGTATTCAAGAATCAGGCCTGGGCTATGCTGCACACGCTGATGGAAATGTTCTCCTATCGCCTGCACCATGTGCCCACACACTATCGCGTCCAGCTGCTCTCACTGCTCTACACGCTCTCCTCAGTGCCGCCGACCAATAAAATGCAGTTGAATCTGTGGTAAGTTTGTAATTTAAATATTTTCTACAACAAGCTATTAATCGTGGCTTTTTTCGCAGCTTTGAGTCCACTGCATTGCGTTTGATAACCAGCATTGGCTCCGCCGAGTTTCAGTCACAGTTTTCGCGCTATTTGAATGATAAGTCGCCTGGTGGCGTTGCGTCCAACGAGAGCGAGGAGCTAAATCGTGTCCTCATCTTGACGCTGGCGCGTTCTATGCACGTTCATGGCGGCGGCGATGAGTTGGCCGGTTGGTGCAAGGATTTTCTGTCCAACATAATGCAACACACGCCGCATTCGTGGCCAATGCAATCCCTGGCCTGCTTTCCGCCCGCACTCAACGAGTATTTCACACAGAACAATCATCCGGCGGAGAACAAGCAGCAGCTGAAAAAGTCCGTAGAGGAGGAGTATCGCAATTGGACATCCATGTCCAATGAGAACGACATAATTGCCCACTTTATACGGCCCAACACAAATCCGTTGTTCTTGTGTTTGCTTTTTAAAATCATATGGGAAACGGAGAGTATCAGTCCCGTGGCATACAAGTGAGGCACTGCCAGCTCAACCACCTGTAGAACAGTCCTTTAATTGATCTTACTCCTTTTTAGAATTCTAGAAGGGATCAGCGCACGTGCCCTGTCCACACATTTGCGCAAATTCTGTGATTATCTGGTCGCCGAGGTGGCCAGCTCTTCGGATGGACGTGACTTTATACACAAATGTGTGGATACCATCAATAACATGATCTGGAAGTTCAATGTGGTTACCATCGATCGCCTGGTGCTCTGCCTGGCGCTGCGCACGCACGAGGGCAACGAGGCGCAGGTGTGTTTAATCATAATTCAGTTGCTACTGCTGAAAGCCTCCGAGCTGCGCAATCGCGTGCAGGAATTCTGCAAGGACAATAATCCTGATCACTGGAAGCAAAGCAACTGGTAAGTAAATCGCTTTTAATCAAATTCAAAACTGAATCCAATATTTGTCTACATTTTGCTTTCAGGCATGAGAAACATCTGCAATTTCATCAAAACTATCCCGAGAAGTTTGCGCCGGATGAGTCTGCGTCGCAAATCCCATTACCCGTCTACTTCAGCAATGTCTGTCTTCGATTTCTGCCTGTGCTCGATGTGGTCGTGCATCGCTTTATTGAGCTCACCATACCGAATGTGCACCAAATTCTGGGCATCATATTGGATCACTTGAGCATACTCTATAAGTTTCATGGTGAGTGTAGCCGCCTTTCCTCGCTGCACATTCATAAGCTCTTATTTTCTGTTATCAGATCGTCCCATTACCTATCTGTACAATACGTTGCACTATTACGAGCGCATTTTGCGTGATCGCCTGCCGCTGAAAAAGAAGCTGGTAAGCTGTTGTTTTATTCCGTTTTAAACAGCTGTTAAAGCTGTATTTCATACAGGTTAGCACCATCACAAGCGCGTTTAGTGAGATACGTCCGGCCAATTGGAGCGTCAGTGAGCCGTATAAAGTTTATCTGCAAAGTCAAGACGCTTTATGGACGCCCGAGCTGAGCTACTACATGAATCTCATTCGAAGATTGGCTGACAGTGAGCTTTAACCAGAGATTTTTTTAAACATTTGTTAATGTCCAATTTTGTCTCCCATTTAGCTATCAGCGGGAAGAACGTCTTCTACACCACCGATTGGCGTTTCAATGAGTTTCCCAATGCACCCACCCATGCGCTATATGTTACCTGCGTGGAACTGCTTGGCCTGCCCTTGGCGCCATCCGTGGTTGCGGGCAACATAATCGATGTGATTGTCAATGGTTACGCTGTGGTGCCGCAAAAGGAGATACACAGCTACATCAATGCGGTGGGCATTGTGCTGGCCGCCCTGCCGGAACCCTACTGGAGTGCAATTTACGATCGCCTACAGGACATGCTGAACACGCCCAACATGCTCAACTGGACATATCGATTTAATGCCTTCGAACTGTTTAACTTCAAGACTGTGCGAGAGGCCATGCTGGAGAAAAGCTATGCTGTGGTGCTGGCAGTGGCGCATGCGGTGTTCCATCACATGGGCGCCTTCAAGCTGGCAGCCATGACCAGATACATCAAAGAGAAACTGAAGCCCTGTGTGCGCACCGAGCACCAATTGCTGTATCTATGCCATGTCTTTGGACCGTTTCTGCAGCGCATTGAGCAGGAGAAACCGAATGCGGTCGCGGGCATAGCCATATTTCTTTATGAAATGTTGGAAAATGTAGACAAGCAGCATGGACCCAAGCCATTGGAGTATATGGATCAAATTTGCGACTTTCTGTGAGCATTTTGTGAGCCATACATTGTGTATACATGTATTAAGAATCTTTACTTTTATGCAGCTATCACATTAAGTACATACACGTGGGCAATATTATCAAAAACGAATCGGAGGCAATAATCAAAAGGCTGCGACCGCAGCTGCAAATGCGTCTGCGCTTCATAACGCATCTAAATCTGGAGGACATACACACAGAGAAGATGTAAGT